GGCGAAGGCGACGGCGGAGCCTGGGCGCGCGTTTCCAATTCGGTGGCGGCGGCAGCAGTGCGTCTAGCAGTTTGAATCTGAGAGGCTTTGCAGGCTCCCCGGGACAGGACTAGGGTGACGTCACGGGGGAGGGGGCAGGCAGAGGATCCAGGGCGCGCGGTGGGGGAGGGTTGGGCAGATGCTTCCCTTCCTTGCAAGTGGCTTTGCAAAGCTCAATTCCCGGCTGCGTCAGTTGATTCTGAACTACTCCACCTCCAACCTGGCTGGCTGCAGGAGAAGCTCCTGCAGAGGGGTTTCTCGAGGAGGGGCCCTCCTAATGGGCTGGCACCTCCTTGGGCCCCTCTATGTGTTCTCTTTCACTCCTCCCTCTTTCTTTCACCTACACAATGCCTATGGGGGGCAGGGCTGGGGGTGGGGGGGTTCTTCTCCCAGATTCCCAAGCAAGGGAGAAGTGTGTAAGAGTGTGTGTGATGTGCCTCTTTGCTACAGGACTGTGCCCCACTTGCCAGCTCCTAGCTCAGATGCTCTCTGTGCAGAGAGAGTGGGGTGTGTGTGCATGCACCAATGTGTCTGTGTAGGAGGGTGAGGAGTTCTCTTAGGGGATTTATGCTTTACATACAGAGCCCTGATTCAGTGCTAAAAGAATTCCTTTCTGGGTGTTGACCCGCCAAACAGATATTTGCCTGGACTCTGAAAGTCAGCTCAACGTTAGCTTACAGACTGAGAAAAAACAAAAACAAAACCCTTTTCTCCCTGAGGTTTATACTTAGCCAGATAATGAGGTTTAAACGTGCGCTTCTTGCCTGGAGGAAGGAGAAAAGAAGTGGGTGTCAGAAAAGCACTGCCAGGCTGAGCCTCAGCTGGGAGTGGGAGCCAAAGGAGGGGTGGTTGAGCCCTCCAGGCTGCAGGGGCAGGGGAGCTAGGAGAAAAGAGGAAGCTGGTGCAGGAAGACTGGCTCCTGAGAAAGAGAGGAGATGTAAAAGGAAGCCTGGCCGGAGACCTAGCTTACCTGGGTTCTGATCTGGCTCTGTTGCTAGATGTGACACTAGCTTCTGGATCTTCCTGTCTCCATCTGCAAAAGGTGGGTAGGTAGACCTTATGAGCCCTCCCACCCCAGCTCTGACATCCAGTGTGGGTTTAAATAGCCTTTCCAGAGCATTGCTAATGACCAGGTGTTGGATTTTTGCCTTCATTATCTGTTTTCTCCTTAATTATTGTACAGCTCCTTGGACCCAGGAGTCTTCATTGTGGAATCAATTCACAAGGGGTAAATAATGTCTGCTATTGCCTGGAAAGGCCTTGGTTGCCTCTAGTAGGAAGGGGGAGTTGGGTCAGGAAAAGGAGGGAATCAAATAACCAGGGAAAAGGAATTGACCAAATGATGTGCCTGTCCCACAAAACACTTCAGCTTACTTTCCGGGGGACCCACTGCCTGATCAAATGTGGCATAAACACAGATATAACAAACCACTTGAGAACAGAAAACCCCCGGTTCTCCCCTTCTCCTTCCTTGTTAAGCTTAGGCCCTAGGATTGTTCCCTTTATACAAGCTCCTTTCTCTCCGGGAAGGGCGGGGGTAGTTTATAAACTTAGGCACTAAGGCAACCTGTAGCTGCGGTGATCTGTGCATTATTTTCTTGGGCTTTCTCCCTTTCTCCTTCTTCTTCTTCTAAGAAGAGCCTTGGACCAGGCATCAGGAGCCCCCTTACCCTCTAATTCTTGCTTGGCCTTTAGCAAAATACTTTCCTTCTGGAGACTCCAATTTTCCTTCTCTATAGAGAAGGGCAAACTTGAGATGAGTTCTGAGGCAGAGGGACAGCCCTGTGGATGGCCTCCCACTCTGTATTGCAATTGCATCATGAGATGGAAGCAGTCTGATGCAGTGGGAGCACAATTAAGCTCCCTTTCCTCGCAAAGGAGGCATTTGCTTCTATGTATTTCCAAATGTTAAAAGCACACAATTCCTACAGCAATAAGATTTATTCATTCAGTCATTCATTCAACAAACACGTATTATGTCCATATTTAACTGAAGTAAAGATGTGAGAGCCAGAGCCAAACAGGACCTTAGAAGTCAGGTTCATTTTACAGATGAGGTCATTTCTCAACCAGGGAAAGTGCTGACTTACTCAAGAAACTACAATTAGAAACAAAACCCAGGGATTATTAGTCCCAGTCCATCATTTTTCCAAAAAAGCACACTACTGCTTAATATGAATTAAGAATCTACTTAAACTTAAATAGTGGTGGTGGTGTTTTACTTAAAGCTATCCTTTTTATTAAAAAAAAATGTATTTGAAAGTGAAACCTCAAATACTAGTTTCAGTTCTCAGATACAGTGATTTCTTTCAAGACACTGATGACGCTTTCAATATTCCTTGAGGACAGATTATTTTTGCTAAAAATTTCAGAGAGAGAAGAGAGACTCAGAGAGAAAGGTGGAGGTGGTTGGGGGCTCATGAGGTTCTTGAGACCTACAGAATGAAGGAAATTCACTGGTAATCTAACTGTGGGAAGCGACACCAGGACCCAGAGGGGGTCTTCGTTCCTGCCTGTCCCTGAGAGTCCACAGCTGCTTTCCAAAACGTAGTTACTAGGAACAAATCAGCTTGAAACGCGATAACCACTTTAAGTAAGTTTCATTTGGCCCCGTGTCTTCTGAAGAACTGCCGCAACACCCCCCTAGGGAGAGCGGGCTTTTAAGGCTGTGGAAAGGTTCAGGGTGAACTGGGACCCCAAGGGAAGCAAAGGCGGTTATTAAAATAAGGAAAACGCTCCCTCTCCTTGCTGAGGCGAGGGAGGCTTAAAGAAGAACTCCGTGGGTCGCCTGTCTCACTCGCATCTAACCCAGTAGAGCCTGGCTCAGGTCTCCAAGGATTCCACAGGACACGGTGGGTGCCGGCGGGCTTACAGCCCACCTCCGTCCCGGCCGCCCATCAGGCCACGAGGGGGCTAAGAGGAGTCCGAGAGCCCAGAGAGGGGCACTGCTCGCCCGCAGCCTCCTGTTCTAAACACCCGCCGCCCGCAAGCCGGGTCGAATCCCATTTCCGAAGGGCGCTTCCGGGAGACCAGGTGTCTCCGAGCGTCCCAGATCGCCGATAACTGGGCACCGGCCGCAAGCGCAGCTCTACCTTCCCTACCGCTACCTGCTAGACGCCTGGTGCGGTGCCCGGCATGCGGCCCCACAGCAGCGACGGCCACTCGGGCTGCCCTCGCCTTGGGGCTTGGGCACTGCAGGCCGACCAGAGGCTTCTAGCTCGCGCCGGGTGCGTGGGCCCTCCCCAGCCGCCTGTGCCACCCCGCTGCGCGACGCGCGGAGCCCCGACCACGCCCGCGCGGACGGTCCAGGGGTGAGGAATCTCTAGTGGGGATTGAGGGTAGAGGACGGCCGCCAGCGAGCTGCCCTCTGCGGTGGCGCCCAGCCTCCCCACGCTGGTCCCCCTCGCAAGGAGAGGTGGCCGGGAAAGGCAATGGACTGAGGAAAGCCGGCTCACTGGCCGCGTCGCCACCGCGTCCCTGAGTGCTCAGAACTTACCCAGCGAGCGCGCTGCCCAGATCTTTCCCCGGAGGCTCCCGCAGCATCTGCGACTCGGTGAAGCAAAGGAGCCGGCACCGCTTCGGACTGGCGCAGCCCAGGAGCAGGAGCACCGCGGGGAGCGCGGGCGGCGCCCCCAGGGCAGGCAGATCCCCACCGGAGCGGCTAGCCAACGGGCAACGCTTCTTGCAGGAAGGAGGGAGGGAGACGAGAGGGAGGAGGGAAGTAAAGCGGGAGGGAGGAGAGGGGAAGAAGGGAGGGAGGAGGGAGGGAGGGATCGCGGCCCCTCTCCCTCACTTATCAATCACCCCGCAGATTGCACCCAGGACGGGGATGTAAGAGCCCACAAAGGAGCCGCTGCTCCATTTCTCTGACAAGCGCTGCGGAGCACTGCTCACGCCTCTCGGCCCCTCTTGCCTGGAACTCTGCCCAGCCCTTGCGGCTTCCACCCTGGGCTGCAGCTCGGGCTCGGTCAAGTGAAACAAGAATGGCACACGGTCGGTACCATGTCCAAGGAGAGACTAAGACCACTGGGTGGAAGTTAACGACAAGTGAAAGAGCAGCCGTCCGAGTTGGACACCCTCCGGGACAGCTGCCTCCCCTAACTAGTAAGCGCCCAATCTTTGGGAGTTCGCAGGCAGATATATCAGAACCTCCTACCAGGATCGTAAACAAGGACTTTCAACATAATATAGAGCTGAACTTGAGTTGTGCAAGTGTGTTAACAAAAGCAAGCCCTTAGCAGCGTTCCAGTGATTGATTCCCTTTATTCTTCATGACGACGTTGCTGGGATCGTCTAGAGCGTTATTTTTGCCATCTTCCCTTCCCTTTCCTCCTTTCTTCTTCCTCTTATTAGTAGTCCAGGTGGTTGTGATTCTATTAAAGGAAGGCGCTCTGTGGAAAGAGTCAATGTAGTTCAAGCGGGAGGTGCGGTTTTTGCCAAGAGCATTGCGGTTCCCCTTAAGACTTGCTTTCTCTAGGGCCTCTCCTCTACTCTTCCAGAGTATTAGAGATAAAGTAGC